AATGAAATAAGAAGGCAATGCTAGCCAGCAGTTTCTGCCCTCGCCAGTTCCCAAGGTCAAAGCAAAGTGACGATAAAGGGAAGTAGAGCCTTGCTAAGTGAATTTGTTGCAATTACTAGTATACAAAATTAAAGGCCACTACATATGAGTCGACAAGAGTTGTGGGAAGAACTACAAAAATGTATTTCCATTTCTCTATTTTATTAAAAGCATTACACAAACAAATTATAGTTAAACAGCCAGTTGATTAGATCGACAAATTTATGTGCATATCTCTGCTTTATTCCGTCTATAAGTATACTATTTATTTATATATTTTACAGACATCCATGCCAATAATCCTAAGTAAGCGAGCTAAGATATTGCTGCCTTTTGGAATCGAAGCAAATATTAGTTTGCTGACAACAGTCGATATAATTATAATATATATAATTATATGTTCAAAAATGCATTGAAAAACCTTGTGAGCCCCCATGCTAAAATAAAGTCAAAGCAAAGACAAAGTGCCTTTGTCTCGAAAATATGCATTTTTGATTACAAATTTCCATTTGAGTTATTAATTAATTTGCAAGACTTTAAACTTTTCTGAAGTGTTAGAAAATATAGAATTCAGCTCACTGTTTATGTCTCTCGTTAAGAATTTTAAGCACTTGCTTGGATTAGAAATACTAGTTCATTAAATATTAAAAAAACAAATTGTGTAATGCTGCTTATTAAGTAACTTTGAAATATTATTAAGAATATTTAACTGTTATTAATCATAATTGTTAGAAATTTCAAATTACAGTCATTCTTTTTATTAAATGATCAGTTTTGAATTGCATTTACTAAAAAAGCTTTGCACTTAATGTGAAAGATCGGTTCAGAAATTTGCAAAAAACCGTGCACGCCCTGATTTCAAACGAACATGAATATGTAACGAAAAAATGCAAGCTTCAGCTTTTTCGATTTCTGGAAACTCTAAAACTGTTTGTTTTTCTCTGTTTATGCCTTAAAGCGTAGGATAGCTAACTTGAAAATATATTTCATTTGCTCATTTAAACTGCTGTGCCAAGTATTAGTGTTCAGTCAATGCCCATAGGAGTTATTTAAGAAATAAACTCCAAGCAAGTTGTGGGACTTCTTGTCAGTATTTCCTTCTCTGCCCCACTCCCAGGCTCTTAATCCGCACCTTGAAGTTGCTTGCTGGCTGGTTTTTTTTTGGGGTGGTATATGGGGCGTACGAGAATAAATGCACAACACTTGCGCTTGATTTGAAGTGAAAGATGAAAGCAGAGGAGAAGTGAAAAGCATAAATGCATTTTCCATTCGTGTAATGTGATACAAAATATAAATGAGTTGTTGTTGTTGCTGTTACTGTTACTGTAATGGGTATGTAAATAATTTATAAATTGAAATATGAAAGTATTTGTTGTTCCAATTAGAAACAAAAACCAAATTAAGTAAATACGAGTAGTTGATAAGCCGCGCTGAATTAAATCAAATGCGCTTTCAATGCCAGCTGCACAAATGCGAATAAATAAAATGCAATAAAAGCGTAATTAATGTAACCGCAAAAATGCAACAAAAACCGCAACAACAGGAGAGGAAAAAAATAAAAATGGGGGCTGAGAGTGGCCGATCATGTGGGCGGATGATGAATATGAGTAATGTTTGTTTATTTTTAATTAAAATGCAATCGCACACACAGAGATACTTACACACACACACACACACACACACACGCACACACACAAGTTTGCTAATTACTTAAAGCGAGAAATAAATTGAAATGGCATATTGATTATGCAATTGTCATGCAATGCAACTAATTAGTATACAAGCGACTAGCCAGAGGGAGGCGGCGGCTAATCGATAAGAGCTCGACTGCCATATAATTGGCAGAGCTGCAGCGACTGATAGCAGGCTGTGGGGCGAATGGGGAAATGGGGAAATGGAGGAATGGGGAAATGGGAAAATGGAGGCAGACGCTTAATTAACACGACCGAAAATGCCTCGGCTGACAATTTGGAAAATGTTTGCAGACAAAGTGAGCGCAGACGTTGGAAAAACAATGCGAAATGCGAAAAATGGCAGAGAGAGAGAGTGCGAAGAAGGAAGAGAGCCAGCATGAGTGGAAAGTTGCGAGAGACAAGCCGAATCTGTGTAAATTGTGCTCCTTTGTGTCTTCCTCTTTTCTTTCCCGTTTTTTGGAACAACTTTATAGATATAAGTACTATACGTACATATATACGAGTATGTATGCCGACTATGTATGTAGATACACATGCTTTCATCTTCAATTGCTTCTGTCTGCCAACAATTAGACGATAGCTGGAAGGATCTGAACTTTGAACTGAGCATTCACGAATTGTTATAGAAAATTAACTTGTCAACAAAGCGATACAAGCTTAGACTGAAATAAAGCCCTTCAGTCAGTCGATCAATAAGTTTACATTTCACGATTTCTATTTTAATGGCCTTCTTCGCGGCACTAAATGGGAATCAGTCGTAGGCCCCTTTTGAGGCCTATAAGGACAGGAGGCAACAAATTGATTGGCCCCCTAAATAAGATAATCCGATAATATATAGAAAGATAGCAAAAAGCGGGGCTTAGAAGTAGTGGCTGCATAAAAGCTTCGGACATTTTTTCATTCGTCTATCGTAATGAATAAACTGACAATAAATTAATAAATATCATTGCTGGATCTACATAGGAATCATTAACCAGATCTTTAATTGAAGTACAAAATTTGAATCATCTTTTTATACGCTGTACCTAAAGCGTAAACGGGCTTATAAGCTTAGAATATAAATATTGGAATAAAGATCTTGAGTATACTATGAAAGAACATTCATTGAAAACCAAATCTAAATAAAAATATATATGTATGTATGAACAATACTGAAGATGGGCAGATGTAGGAAAATTATTTTAATGCTCAAATATGGGCTCACATATGTATGAGTGTAGCATTTTATGCAATCATAATATTTCAATATACATTGATCTATATGTATAAAATAAAAATGTTGCATAGTAGCCAGCAGTGTGAATATATTTTTTTAACGTATTTTTTAAACTGCTTGTAAAAAAAGTGTACAACCTATGAACGTTACGAGTCATTGCTTTTGTATTTACATGAACCACATACTCGAATAAAGTCCTATGAGAGTCGATTTACAAATTTATAAATAGATTTAAGTATAAACTTGGCTGAATTTATTCATTTGTCTGTCTAATATGAAGGATTCAAGCGTCTCAACCCATTTCTTTACAATTTTTAAAACCTCTTATTTGGTACAAAATGAAGACTTACACATACTACAGCCAATAAACAAATTTGTCGCTATGGGAAAAATAAAGATGTAAGCTTCTAGCAGAGGGAAAGGGTTCCTTTACCGACAACCATGTCAAAGGTTTGTTTATAATACACAAACAATGCAGTGCTCTAGGAAATGGGCCGAAAAGTGACTTGCGCTTTGTTGTGTGGAATACATGGAGAACGATATTAAAATTAGCCTGTTTGGCTTAGATATCAATTGTATTTTGATGGCTGTATTGCCCCTGAAAATGTGCAACAATTTGTCAGTCTATGTTGGCTTGGGTTTCACTCAAACATTGCAACAACAAAAAAGAAACAATGTAGTTTCAACTCAAAACTACAAATAACTTATTAACAACACAACTGCTTAACAAATAAAAAAAAGAGAAGCAAACATTTGTTTCAATAGGCGCGAATCAAATTGGACACGCAAAGAAAAATACAGTGGCGTTCAAATTTGGGCAATAAGACGTGCAGGACAAACACACCAACGCACACACACACACACACACACACACACATTTACATTCTCACGCACTAGTGACGGCGCTGCGATGACGCTGCTGCCGCCAAATTGGCGGCGCAAAACAAACTGAGCCCGCTGAGCTCACAGCTCCTGACCAAGGCATAACAGACGTGGATAGCGCGTAATTAACACACACACACACTACCACAGCTCACACGTACGCACATGTATAGTGTTCATGTGAGCCTTCCAGTCAAAAGTGAGATAGCACTTTGCGAGGCTTATAGGAGCGAATGAGATGCAGAATGATGGCGCATAGCCATTGCCCCTGAAATTGGAAGTGTGGTAGGCCATGAATGTGGCGCGAAAGAGCCGGCAGCCTGAGAGCAATATTGCCATCTCCCTTGCCCGCAAATATGGCGTTGTCGACAACGCTAACACAGTCGACAGTTGGCAGTGAGCAGTCGGAAGCTGCCGCAGCTACCCCGACAACGACCAAAGCAGCGACGGCGGCGCGTACCGACGGCAAATGCAAAGCACGTTGCTCGTTGCTGTTTAGCCTGTGCGTTGGTGTTGGCGTCGGCGTCGACGCCAATGCTGGCGGCAGCAGCAGCGCCGTCACTGTCTCAGCCGCAGCGCTTTTGCTTGCGTGCAGCGCGCGCTTTAGTTTCAGTTCGTTCTCGTACGTGGTCCACGCCGAACGTTTCGCAATTAGTCAGTCGCTCGCTCGCCGACGACGCCAACGACAAACCAGATCGCATTTTTTTTACTTCATTGTTTTGCGTATGTTCCTCACAAGTAGCAGCAACAGAAACAGCAGCAGCAGCAGCAGAGCGTGGGCCGTCGTCGCGTTCGCGTCCCCACTTTTTGGCAGCTTAATGCCAAGAACAGTTATCGAGTTAGCGTTGGATTAGTAACAACAACAACAACAACTTGGGCGACAACGAGACGCCAATTCAGAACCAAGTGCTAAGAACCAACAGACAAATGTACAAGACACTGTGAACAGCTACAAAAATAACAACAACAACAACAATTTTTTTGCATATGATTTTTTTATAAAATCTCGAAACTAAAGAACAAGAAACAAGTGCAATATACCCAATAAACCCAACCAGCAGCAAGGGGTTAAAGTGCTGAAGAACCTAAATTTTTTTCGTGTGTGTGTGTGTGTTTCTGTTTCTCTGTGTGTGTGAGTGTGTGTGTGCGCGCGAATCGCCGACGGCAAAATGCAAGCAACCAAAATGCGCACACCCTTCGCCATTCAAGAAATTCTGGGCCTGGGCGTTGGCAACGCCGCTGCAGCGGCCTATCAGCAACAACAACAACAGCAGCAGCAGCAGCAACAATCAGTGCAACAGCTACAACAACAACAACAACAACAACAGCAACGCCAAGCCACATCACCCAATAATGGCCAGGCACTAGCCACTACAGCAGCCACACCAACCACCACCTCAGAGGCGCCGCTTTCACCAGCAGCGACGCCACCGCCCCGCACCGCCAACACGCCAGCGAGTGCCACCGCCAGCTCCGGTCAGCCACAGCAGCATTCATCCTCATGTGGACCACCGCCGATCAGTGGACGTTCTCAGCGTGACTCACGCGACTCACGCTCCATATCGCCGGATGTGACGCGCTTATCGGCCGCCGCTGCTGCCGCAGCCGCCGCCGCCGCCGCCCACTGCCAACTACCCGTCTTCAATCCAGCCAATTTCTATGCAGCCGCCGGCTATGCGGCCGCAGCAGATCCGAGCAATGCGGCTGCCGCCCATCACCATCACATGACAACCCTGGCAGCTGCCGCTTACCTGCGTGGCTTCCTGCCGCCAGGCTTCAGCACGCCCCACGAGTTTCGGGGACATTTTCAGCAGCACTTTGGAGCCCAGTTTGCAGGTGAGTTATAAAAAAAAAGAACACCTTTCGGGAAGGGATGAACACACTCAATTGTTGTGGAAAATATTTAAATACTCGAAGGTCTCAAATATAACCGATTAGTTAGTTCAGAATGTGCGCCATGTTCCTGAACCTAAAATCGGAAATAAGGAAAAGCAACGAAAATAGTTCCAAGATTCTGGTCAGACAGGCAAATAATCTGCAGACAAATTTATACAGATGCACATGTATGTGAATGGTTAAATATAAATATATTCTTGTAGGCTTCGGCGGATTTGTGTGCCAATGTTATTGCCTTACTGATAAACTGATAAAACGAATCACTGATCGCATTTACTGAAGAATGAATCCCTTTTCATAACCTCAAAAGTAGCATAATTTACTGACCCCGAATAGGAATAGGAGAGAGCTACAATAAAGGTATTTGAATCAAGATTAAGAAAAGTGCTTTTAAGAGCATTGAAATCAAACCCTTGAATCCAAATTCTTCGTTATTGGTCGAATCCTGAAACTATTGAAATAACTTAACTTAACTTGTTATATAATTTACAATCATTTCTGGAGAATCACTTCTGAAGACATCCTTTCAACTTGAAATTTATTTAATATTCATTCTTAATTTCAAAATAGAATCGAATTCCAGAGCATAATATCACTGAGTTTCTAATGAACAATTGCTTGTATTATATTGCTAGTGAGACTTATAGTTTGTTTTACTCTATTTATCCAATTGTTAAAGATCGCTATTAGCGCCGGCGGCTTGAGGACTTCAAGTGGCAATTGTGCGCGGACATTGGCCAGTTTTAGATTTCGTTATAAGATGCCAATGATCTGGTGTCTTAGTTTGTTCTGAAGAGCCAGGATCTGCTGCTCAGATCTAGATGACATGCCTCCAGACGCGACCGAATGTTGATCTATTACTTTGCAGTGGAAGCCTTACACTTGGGAGCTCTCCTATTAAAAGTATAAAAAATGCGTTACTCTTGCATTATTCCACTGCTTTGAAATCCACAAATCGAGATGAAAATAATAATAATAATGAGAAGCTGAGAAAAGACTTGGTTTCTTCAGATCGAATTAGTTTTCACAATCACAGACAATTATGCAGTTGGTGCTCTAATTAGATTTGTCAGATCTGCAGTGCTGGCATAATGCTTAACCGTTAGCTAATTAACAACAGCCGACTGTTGCATTGCCTGAGAGGGCGATGGAGAGGCAGAGGGGGAGGGAGGCGCAGAGATAAGGCCAAAGACTTGTGGTTGCACTTGAGCGCCGCTCAATGAGCGTCCCAGTCACTTGGCAGATGCACAGCAACAACAGCAACGAAAGTAATAACAAAAACGCACAAAATGCACGCAGCCAAGTGGCAATACACACATTCATACTCACACACACACACACGCACTTGTATATACATGCACACAAACGCGCTTTAGGCGCAACTAATAAGCTCGAAGGGGTTGCTGTTGCCCGGGCTTTAGATTTCTCGGCTCGGCTGGCTGGGCATCAAAATTAAAACAATAAAACAACAAATTAAGCACACGTTCAAGCAAACACACACACACAAGCTTATTAATACACACACTACCATATACATATATGCATATATACTCGTATATATGTAGCTACATCGACGGCAATCCTGCTTCAAAGCCTGTCACAAAGGTGTGAAATCTCACACACAGACGAGCCGCACGATGCCTTCATCGATTGCTCTGTATATGCCCGTGTTTGTGTGTATGTGTGTGTGTGTGTGTGTGTTGGTGGGTTTGCGTGTCGCTAATTAAGCGCATAATTTACAATGCTTACTTATTTAAATCAGTCAGCCATTTGCCTTCGCTTAGCCATCAGGCTCAACCATAAACCTCATAAACCTCCTCTGTTTCTACTTCTACGTTGTTCCGTTTTTAATTTCCATCGTAATTCGATTTGATAAATTTGAAATAAATTTATAGTAAGTTATAAGTATATTCGATTTCTCGATTAATATTATATCATCTGATAAACAGCTTGCGTTAAAATATTTTGTTTCTTTTATTAAAATAATTCATTCATTGCTGAAAAAAAGAAATCAATCATCTTTGTTCGCTAGTTGCTTATATTTTTGTTAGGAGCTCTAAACAGCTAAGCAACTTTAACTCGGGAGCATTTTTCAAGAACTAAAATTAACTGTACTTTTTTTTTTTTTTTGGCTAATTTTGATTATATTTATTTATTTACGTGCATTGCTTTTCACACAAGCAGCAGACATCTACCATAAAAGTTGGAGAAATTCACTTATATATTTTATTTGCACATTTGAAAGATCTTATACATAATTTGTGATTTTTTTGTAAAGCAACAATTATGTGACAGTATTGTTTTAATATTAAATCCACAAAAAAATGCAAATACAATACAGATATTGCGAAGCATATCCCCTTAGAATAAATATTATAGCCTTAATTTTAGATAAACCCAGTTTTCAAACCCTTTCTATAATAAATGTTAAATTATTCCTATACATGCGATGACATTATCACCGCATTTTTAATGATCATGCTTATTAAATACGTCACTTATATATTTATGTATATAATGCCTTTATTATGACTACAACCACTCACAGATATCTTGTAGTTAAGCATCCGATTTTTGGCCCGGGCTGTGGCGTTGCAATCTGCTCGAATATGAAGCGATAGTTTCGCGAAGTAAACTCATTTCGTAGGAAATGTTCTTAGATAAGTAAATACAACGATTTTTCTCCCAATTGACAAATATTGCCACTGAATGCCAGGCATTCAAAGAGACTTTAAAAGAAGACAACAACAACATAAAACTAAATAAACCACAAACGCAGTAACGGCCCGAAAAAGACGGTCCCATGCTAATATAAACAATTGCTTAAGTTACCTTTGTTTTCATTTTCCATAACAAATGCAAGTGAGTTTAAAAAGAATAAAAATTAGCAACAGAACTGCGCTTGAAATAAGTTGATTGTTTTTTAACTTCTTTTTTTGAATTCACATTTTTTCTGGCTAACAATCGAAACATATATTCTTGTAAAGGCATGGTTGAGGATTCATGTGGAGTATGCTGCTTAAATGTCATTCACTTAGGATCTAGCCTAGCTTTTTTCTTGTAATATAGTAGTATAGTGTTATATATTTGAGGAGATAACTACCTCTTGCTGTATATAGACCACCTATATATAGCAATTTTATGATTTAGTACTGCTCCTTAGTGGACAGTTAATCAGAAGGAGTTACAGAGTAGCTGACTCTTGCCACTCTTATTTAGTAAACAGTAACGCCCACCAGGCACACACATACTCGCATACATATGTACAAGTATGTACTCGTACCTAGTAGCTGTGTATATATGCACACTTTTAATCCCAAGACATGACATTTCATCGCAATTCCCGAACAAATTGAATAGCTGCCTCTGCCACAGTCTCTGCTTCTGTTTCTTTTTTTATTTTTCCTCTTCATTTTTTTTTCTGTGGGTAGGACGAAGGCGTTTACAGTCTGAACAAATACGTGTGTACATGGAAAAGGTGGCCCATACGCACTTAATTTGTTAAATTTTCACACTTTGTAACATCTGTTGTTGTTGCTTTTCCTTTGCAGCTTTCACTGTTGACCTTTTCTATTGCCTCTTTCTACAATTTACAATTTACTCTCGGGGCTCAGCGTAGGTGGCTAAACAGTTTTCTTTTGTTTGCACAACGGCGCGAGCTGTTGTTGGTGTTGTTGCCCAGGGCCAAGCTGCAAAAAGGCAACGTCTTGTCCTTTTCTGCCAGCCAGCCAGCCAGCCAGCCAGCCAGCCAACCAACCGCATACACAAACACAGAGCAACAACAACAACAAGAACTACAATAGCTCGGCCATATCGGGCAAGTGTTAGTTTCGAGCTAAAGGAAAATTGTGTACAAAATAAATCGACTCAAGTGGTTAACCGCAAGCATCAGACCAGACCGACCAGCAAAGTAGGAAAGTAGCAAAGTAGCAATTTTCTCAGTAAGTAGTGCCAAGTTGGAAAGGATGAATGATATAATGTCGCTGCTGGGGCTCATGTTGTTATCCTTAATTTGAGTGGCCATTGAGGCAGAGGCTGCTCCTCAGGCGGCAAGGTGGCATCCAGGCATCGAGGCATCCAAACAGCCAGGCAGTCACGCAGGCAGGGAGGCTGGCAGCAGGCAGGGAGGCTGGCGTGCAGTTAGCCAGCCAGGAGCGTTTCAGCAGTTGCCACTTTTTCACATTTTGTAGCATACTTTTCTGCGTCGCCCAACCGCTTTCCCGTTTTCTTTTAATAAATATTTATTTTGAAGTCATGTAAAGTTGCTGCCGTGTAGCAAGTTTCTCTCCACTCCTTGTGCGTCCTTTTCACTGTTGTTGTTGTTGTTTCTCCTGCTGCTGCTCGTGTATTTGCTGCGTCAATGTGTTTCTTTTTTTTAGGGTTCGCCATATCGCTGTCAGCTGCAGCAGCACTTGTCTCGCTATATTGCTGCTGTTGTTGTTGTTGCTACTGTTGCAATTATTGTTGTTGTTTATGTAATACCCACAACTATTTTTTTACACATTTACGGAGAGAGCAGCAAGAGAATAAAAGAAGTAAAGGCAGGCATAAGCAGAAGTAGTGGCGGTAGTATTTGTGTAAAAAGTCAAACTGTCTGCCGACTTGCTGACTGGGCTGACTTGTAAGCCATTTTATTGTTGTTGTTCGTGTTGTTGTAGCCGTTGCAGCTACCTTGGTAAGAGTCCCAGGCAGACGCAGCTCTTTCCTAGCCCATTGTCAGTCTTTTGTTCGCATTTTTTACCTCATTCTTCTTTTTCGTTCGGCCTTAGTCATGATCATTTCTCCCTCGCCCGCCTGCCAGACTGGCTGCCTTTAAATGTACAGTGCTGGATGACTTATGATCTGAATGCAAATAATTGCGCGCTAATTGATGCAGTAATTGGGCTTTAACTTAAAGGTTTTAGCTGACAAATGGACTATTGTGCGTGACATCAACTAAT